TAATTAGCAAAATATAGGAAATACATTGCTCCTACTCGTCTATAATCCGATTGTTATTCTGGATTGGCATGGTCGTGTTATCCTCCATCCACCATCGTGTCAAGTTCATTGACTTTCTACCGACTTCAAAAGGGAGGAGGTACTCAATTCGACTGTATTTTTTAATGTTTATAACTTTTTTCTAGGTGAACCGATTTTGACGATTCTTCTCTTAGTTTTAATGTGGTTGGTCATATATAATTGATTAATGTCTAGCCAGTAGTTTTTGAATTATCCTTAATAATTTATAGTGAAGTCGGTTGTACAAAATTATTAATTTTACCACTTGTCCTATTCAATTGATAGGCTTTTACATCAGTACAACTTGATAGAATAGGTGGTATGAGGTAGGTCACTTTTCTGTCTAGTGAGTCCGCCTGGGTAAGTACCGCCCTCTTCCCGGTCCACTCTGAATGGTATAGAGCTCTAGTATAATTACAGTCCCGAAGCTTTCGCTCCTAGTCCTCCGAGGTGACAACCTTAGACCATTTGAGTGACAACGCTGCGGTAGTTTTCTTTATTGGAAGTTGGTTACAAATGGACATGTAGGGATTTACTATCAAATGAGCTTTTTTTTAAAGAATAAATGTGACAAGCGAGTACACAGCCCGCCTGATGGTAAGTGTATCCTGTGGCCCATAGACATCTACATCTATCCTCGATTAAAAATTCAAACCCGGATGCGTTCTCACCCCTAAGGACTAAGAAGGAACGCCTCGTATAAAGGGTCTCCAATTCTCTACACTCACCATACGAAACGCGTCAGCATTAGGCTGCTATGTGTGCGTGGTCCTCCCCGATTGAGCCGACCCATTCGTGCTACAAGCATAATATAACATAGCTCTACCACGTATGTAGCTGTAAGTTCGTTTGTCGCTTAAATTTTGTAAAAAAAAACTTTTAAATATTTTAGCTAACTGTTAAGTATTTTAAGTTTTAAGCTAAGGTAACAAATTGGACTTTAATAGCCACCGATGCGCAGGAGCGTAATCTCGCTAAGTCGACAGCGCACTTGACGCACCGAGTGGGCTAATACAGGCACAATGGGATGACAGCGCGCGACATTGGGGACAATGCGGCTTCAGCGTGTAATCCTCTCTACATTGTTTGCCGACCCGCAGCCCAGCGTCGAGTTTTTTCTGACAACATCCTAGAATTTAGTCACGATATGTGTTGAGTAGGCGCCCCGGAACGCTTTGTAATATTGGATTTAATTTGTCAATATACCTACCTAGCGTGGTTTTGTAAATATAGCATGGTTTATTTAATAAATATGTTAATATTGTAGTGCCTTCAGAGAGACGTTAGAAAATATTTTCAATGGTGACACTTATATTTCAATTGCGAGAAGACTTTTTCCTGTTTAAGACCTTTAATGTTACTTCTTAATAACATCTAATAAAACTCTACTAAAATAGTAAGATAAGGAAATGAGAATTTGAATTTTTGACAATAAGGTCTGAAATGGAATGCCGTGAGTTGCAAATAGCATTTTTTTTTGCTTGATCGAGAACAAATTTTAAATAAGCAACTACTGAAGTTGACGTACGACATTTTTTTTACATAGTTATTGTCTCTAAAAATCGGGATTCAACACCTTAAGACAAACTACTCGATCGTTGTTAATAAAAGAATATCTATTTAAATTAAAAAAAAACATTCAGCCTTTGTAGTAGAGCCATGCTGCAGATAGCTGCACGAATGAGTCGACTCGTCCTGAGAACTACCATGTTCGTATAGAATACGAGCGTGAAATAGCAACATTATTGCTGTGTTCGGTGTTGGTGAATAACGAGAACCGGAGGCTCTTATTACTGGTAACAATGCATTCTATCTCCTCAGGGATGACAACGCTACTGCATTTTGATTCTTAATATAGGATAAATGTAGGTTTCCATGGGCTGTATAGTCGTCACCCTAAATTTTATACAAAAATAGTTTTTAAAAATATGACACTAATTCAAAGATCATTAATTTTACTCTCATAATGCAATTGTATTGTAATGACAACTATCAAAGCTTAATTCGCAAACTTTCTACAGTAACATCCTCATACAATTGAGAACACCTACCGTAAAAGCATGAATCATCTGGTCGGTCACTCACAGCCCGGACATACAATACGGCTTTACACGCACCAGTTCATTTATTTATTTATCCACCACTCCACACATAATTGAGGAAGTCTTTACATCGCCATTGTGTATTTTTTTCTCGCTTAATATTGTTAAATTTCTACGACAATCGCTGTGAACGGGTGTTTGAAGAAATAATAGAAGCACGTCTCGGCTGAATGCCGAGCTGCCTTTGCCATCGATTGTCCTCATTGTCTATGGCTCGCGAAATTCGATTTAGTCTGTGGCGATTCGATTACAGCGCGCTATTTTTGTTGTCCCTATTCGTTTTTGTCTAATCCCTTGAAATTTGATAGGATTAAGAAAAGCGTCGCCTTACAATTAATTCGAGAACAATCTTAGGTGACTTGCTTGGGCCTGTTTAATCCTCAAAATTATTTAAATTACGTTCAACCTATGTAATATAGTTAATTTTTGGAATATTTATGCTAAAAACGAGCAATTATTTATTTATTTATTTAAACTTTTATGCACAAAAAATCGTACATATGACAAACTTAAGGTATTGAGGCATTCTCCCCCCGTCAACCATTAGGCTAAGCAGAGATAAACTTATGGGAGGTAGTGCATTAAAAAATAAACTAATAATTAAAAGAAATGTTTACGAAGTATGGATAAATATAAAACTATTAAGAACTTATTTTTCCATTAAAATTTTTATAAACATGAAAATCAATAAAAAAAACTTATAATAAAAAACGAATTTTTGTTCTTATAAAGAAAGTAAATTTTAAAATGGACCTTTCATATAAAATTGTTTTCATAAGATTAAATGATGACAAGTCGTTTCCATTGTCCTGTTTCTTATTTATGTTGTCACCATTGTCACATTGGTGTATTTTTTCTTTTTGAGTTTAACATCCAAAAGCCTTAGTGAGCAGCTCACTTGTGTCTTAGTCGTGTTTTTAGTGTATAGTGGTTAGATTGTAGAGAACCGTAGACCATTTTTACTGGGAACGAGACATTCCATCTAAGTCCTCAGGGGTGGCAACTCATCTGCGTTTAGATTCTTAATCGATGTTAATGAAGGTGTCTATGGGCCAAATCTTAGTTACATTTTTCTTATTAAGGAGTTTTAGTTATTTGTCCGAATTTTTTTTTTACCCGACTTATGTCCTTAACAGTTGAAGTTGATAATGGATTGCATTTGATTATGATACTACACCCCAACCATATTAGGACTTCCTTTTGTTTGTTTCTAACACTGAAAGAAGTCATTCTACCTCACGATGATTTTTTTGTAAATGGATGTTGCGGTCCATAGACATATAAATCTATCCTCGATTAAGAATTAAAAATGCAGATGCACTGTCACCCTTGACGACGGATACCTTTAAAATGCCTACTTTCCAGTAAAAAAGGTTCTCCTGTTGTCTACGCTCACCATATGAAACACAGCAGCATTAAGCTGTTATCTTTAGGCTGTTATTCTGTGAGAGCGTGGTCCTTTTACGTTCCCTGGCCGAGCTATTCGTGCTACAATCATATTGTAGCTGCAGAGCGACTCTACAACGTGTAAAATATCGTTGATATTTTTTTAAGATATCCTGGTGATCTCACTGTATTAAAAACATACATATTATTAACGTTTCCCCGTTACTAAAAGGTCATCATAGCAGTAGTAGATAAATTGACTATTGATTTAAACAGACTTGATTTGTTTTTATTTCGAATTGATTTGTTTGATTTTTTAATCAAACTATCAGCAAAATTAATTATCCATTCTATGGACAGGTTGTGTTACATACATTAAAACATACAGACGAATTGATAAAGTTCATAGTTTTAATTTTAAAATAACATTATTTCTCTACCAATCGTCTTGAAAACTTGCATTCATCTGGTGTAAGAATATCCACTGCCCTATACCGTCCCGTGGGTGTCGTAAAAGGCGGCAAAGGGAAACATACCTGGAGATGGGCGGTAATAACAATTAAAAATTTAAAAAAAGCTGTGGTTACCAACTGATTAGTAAGCTGAAGTGGCAATGGGCTGGCTACATAGCTCGAAGAACCGATAAGCGATGGGGAAAAGAGGTTCTCGAGTGGCAGCCTCGTACCGGTAGATGAAGTGTAGGTCGACCGCCCACTAGATGGAGTGAAGATATGGTAAGGCATGCAGGAAGTCGATATATATGCAGGTGGCTCAGGACCGTGCTTTGTTGCATTCCTTCGGGAATAAGGTGTTCGCCATCATGCTGGTTCTATGAAAAATCATTTAAAAATTGTATAAACGAAATTATTGTTAAATGAAACATGTTTGAAAAAAAGTCCAGCTGGGTTTCTTGCTGGTTCTTCCCAGGACAGAGGTATTTTCTGAAGCAGTGGTAAATAAAAAATGACTTTCAATAAGAATTATGTAATAATCTATATTGAATAAAAAATTATTCTATTCTATTTCTTGGGAGAGGCCTATGTTCAGTAGTAAATTTGTGATGGGCTGTGGTGATGATGATAATGGTGAGGTTATCAACTTAGCTGACAAGCGTGGCAACTATGACAAATGTCCCCACATGAGGTCTACGTTCAGCAGTGGACTTTTCATAGACTGTTACGGTAACGATAAATGTTTATTCACTTAAGCAATTTTCTCGTTTTACACAAAACAGAAACTTTCACAATTTTCCCTCTTAAATCTTGCCGTTGCAACGGATTAGTTAATTTAAAGTGAATTCTGCTCTGCCGGCACAATAGCGTGTCCTCGCGGACCGCGGAGGCTGCAGCGAGTTTCCCCGCAGCTAAATCACGAGCGGCGGCTCTTTTCAATTGGAATTCCTCGCCGCCCTTAATTGTTTGTTGCTCAATTAATGTAATTCCTCGTCCGCAGGTTTTCCGCAGATCAAGAGCCCCTACAGTCCGACGGCGCAACCGCACTTGACAGGTCAGTGACTGACATAATCTTACGTAGAATTTTTTAAACTACAGCAGAGAAGGTAGTAACCAAGTTCTGGTTTCTAATCTACGCCAGTGCTTATTTACTTTCCCTCCTTCCGTGGCAGCCTATCAAAGATCCACTGCTAAAAGCGACATAGTCGCCACGCAAGGCAGGCGACTTGGAACCCATGTAATCCTGGTGGTAAGTAACTGCTCTTTTTTATTATTTAAAAAACATTATTCCCCACATTTATACCTACTTACATACATAGATAAATTGCACAGAAACAAACATCCACACCCGGAACAATTATTTGTAGAACACACAAATACTCGTTCCGTGTGGGATTCGAACCCACGGCCCTCATCGCCGCAACTTATTAGAGCCCTAAGATGTAGGCAAAGACGATAAAGTGCATTGACTTAGCTTGATAAAAGCATATTCACTGTTGTCTACTAATCAAATAATAGTAAGGTTCAACTAGTTGGTAGTCTTAGCAGATACGCTAAACTATCTCTTCCAGTCCGAAGGGTACAGAGAGCCACGATAGTCACACGCTGTGAGGCATTCCATCTTAGTCCTCAGACGTGACAAAGCATCTGCAGCCTTCTTTGTTTGCAGTTGGCTGCACGTGTCTATGGACTGCAGCATCCACCTACTATCAGGTGGACTGTGGGTTTGATTGTTATTATTCTGTTTGAAACAGCCGGCTAACACTACCTGAACGCTTCAAAATGCTGGCTGCAGCTACGCACACAAGCACGTGTCTTTAACGTTTCAACTACCAGGAGGCTCGCCCGCCTCCGTAATATAGAAATACAATAACTTCCGTCTTAGTCTATCGGTAAATGTTTTTGAGATAGCACCTAAACTCGATAACAGTCAAATAAACCTTCTTAATCATAAGAGAGGTTTTACCGTATACCTCACAATTATGCCGGGTTTCTATATTTAAAATCGTTTCGTTTTCTTTGACGAGCCGTTTTGCAGTAAATGAAATGCATAAAAAACCCTTTTTTAAACAAAATACCAGTTCAACTGTTTATGTTAGTTTAAAGTTGTTCTTTTTTCATTTTAATTCGTTCTAAGTTGCTGAATATTTCTCTCTATATAGAAATGTATGTGTATTCATATGAATTGCTGTCTGTTAGTCTCGGTAAAACTCAAAAACGGCGCGACCAATTTTGATAAAATTTTTAGGTATGGTTTAGATTCATAATTAGACCCGGTAGATGACACTGTTGTTGAGTTCCAGAAATCACCTGTGCGAAGCTATCGCTAGTAATGTTGTTCGAATGTTCAATCCGGCTGTGTACTCACAACCAAATTAATCTATACACCATTTTACATGCACGTCGTATGTTGTAATTTTTTTATAGTATAGGGTGACAAACGAGCACACAGTCCACTTGATGGTAAGTGGCTGCTGTGGCCCATAGACATCTATATTAATCCTCGTTTGTGAATCAAAATGCAGATGCGTTGCCACCCGTGACGACTAAAATAGAATGCCGGTTCTCTACACTCACCATACGAAACACAGCAGTTTTAAGCTGCTATTTTACGCTGGTATTCTGTGAGAGCGTGGTCCTTCCTCGGTCGAGCCGACCCATTCGTGCTACAACTATACTACTAATATAGCTGTAGCATGGCTCTAGCACGTAAACGTAAATGGATCGTTACGGAAAACAAAACGTTTCTTGAATACAGGAATCGGGCAAAAGTGACGTAACCGCAGTAGAAGACGTTGCATTAACACTGCTCTTCGTCAGATGGTCTGGATATCCAGACCTACATGACTTTAAAATTCATTATTGAATACAGGTATTTCTGAAAACTTGCCCAAACTCACCGCGCTATATTTTTACAGCATATTATACGGGATAGCGATGCCGCCATTTTGTGTATGTCATAAGTGTTTCCGTTGAACTATGATATGATATGATACTCATAAAAAATGAGGTACGATGTTAGTTAGAAAAGGAAATAAAATAAAATTAGCAGAATACTTATTGAAAGAAAAAAAAAACCTCTGTCCAACAAGAAACCCAGCGGTACTTTTTTCTTAAATAAAATTAATTTACAATATATTATTTTATACAATTAGTTAAAAAAACTTTAAAAATAGTATGGTAGCGATCTTGACATTGCCAGGGTGTTATAGTCAATCATATACTATTTAGTTGTATAACAACCCTTAGGTACTAAACAACTTTTGTTTAATAAATAACATTTTTATAGATAAGGTCTGCATATTTTCTGGGACTTTGTTGTAAAAGCGTATAGGCAGTAAGGAATTACTAACTCTGGTCTCGAGTAACTGGTAGAAGAAATGTAACTATGGTAGCTCAGGGTAGCCGTGGTAGCGCAAGGGCTAGCTAGTAAGCGAGCGAACCGGGTTCGATTTCCGCCGGCACCAACGCATTTGATAATTGAAATTTTAAGTGTTGGTCTCATCACTTATCATTATTACAGCCCTTCGCAAGTCCACTGCTGAACATAGGTTTTACCCAAGGAATGCACGGCCCACAAAGCACGGTCCTGAGCCATAGACCTCTTCACTATCTTAGCAGGTTGTTACCCCATGAGTGAAGTCCGTTCTACACTTCGCATACAGGTATGATATTACTACTCAAGAACCTTTCTTCCCCATCAGTTGTCGTTTCTTCGAGCTATATGGCCAGCCCATTGCCACTTCAGCTAACTAATTCTATGGGCTATGTCGGTAACTCTTTGTCTAAATCAACACTGGTTCTACTGCAGTGGAAATACTAGAACCAGTGCCGATGTACAAACTGAGACCTGCTTGTCTAGGGAATAAAATATTATGAGGACATATAAAGTCCGCCAACAAAAACCGGAGTAGCGAGGCCTGTCCTGTCTTTAGGCGGGCTATATTTTACTTTAATTTTACTCAAACTCACCACGATATAATATCTATCCAGCGTATACGGAATAGTTACGCCACCGTTTTTGGATATCTCAATAATAATTTAAAAATATATAATTAATGATTTCCATAATTATTTCTTATATTTACTCGAATACTGCTGTTGGGAGTAGCGGTGCTGGGATTAGTGGTGACGGGGATAGTGCACGCAATTGAGGGAGGGCGGGAGGTGCTCTTCAAATTACGTAAGACACATTTTATTTTAGTATGCGTATGTTAGCATATTATTTTTTTGACATCTTACATAATAACTAGTAATCTGCCCCGGCTTCGCACGGTTGATTTGGTAAATTGTCTTGGAATCAAAATTTATTATTATTATTTACATTTTACTCTTTACGTAGATGTGTATGATGTCTTACGTCTCTGTATCCATTTACCGTCAGATAGACTGTGTGCTCATTTGTCACTCTTACCATTACAGCCTATAAAAGTTTACTGCTGAACATAGGTCTCCCTCATAGATGGCCTCGCAGGGAGGATCTTGCCTTAGTTGCCATGCTTGGCATGGGGTTTGGCAACCACAGTTTTTTATTATTTTGAGTCGTTATCAGGATGATGTTGCTGCATTCATTCATAATTGAAATGAAATTAGTTTTAACGAAATAATGATAAATTTCATGATCCTACTATCAATTTACGGTATAATGTTCATTTGAGATATTTTATTCATATCATTGGTCCTATTTAATATTGATTGGCATCATAAAATATATGTAAATATTTGTTTTATGTTCGAGTAGACTTCAAACTTGCAAAAACGCAGTTCTACGAGTATAATGATGTATACTACACATGGAATGAAACTAATGTTACGGATTTTATCACGTTTTATTTTAATATTTTTTATATTGGGTTTTTTACGCATCTTTAACTGAAAGTTCCATAAAAACCTTCGTAAAAGACCATATCGTTGATGTGAAGCACCGACGCTCCAGGAAGTCTAAAGTATGTCAACATATTCTGTATCGTCCCAACCATTATATCAGATCTGATATACAAAAAATCCTTGCAATAGAACACTTCGATTTCTACCAATGATAATTCGCGAGGCTATTGAAATTAAAAAACATCCTAATTTTAATAGGGAAGATGGTTGAGTGCTACCATCTGCTAAGGACTCCATAATTAATAAAATAATATTCAAACCCAAGCACACTACTATACTAGTCTTATCCTATTATATTCTAACTATGACACCAGGTCGTCAAACACCTCAGTCCTACCGTAACCATGGGTGCTGTAAACTGCCCAAAACATCGCGAATTAAAAATCAAAATAAATACAAAAATACAAATAAATACAAAATATTCGAAAAACTAATTTCATACATACATGATTATTATAATAATCATAGATTTTTATTACAATATTTTAAAAGCACAGAATAAAATAATAGTAGTACGTACTAAAAGTAAGTAGGATGTAATATTTATACTTGAATACGTCTTGGACTTTTTGGAGTGACATGAATGATGATATGATGATGGCAATGTATACGCTTTTACAACAGAATCCCAGAACATGTTCAAAGTTTGTCAATAAACAAGTTTAAAAGTTTTATTAAAGAAAAACTGTACAAAAAGGGTTATTATAATATCAAGGAATACATGAGTGAAAATAACCCCTGGGAATAAGGTGATCGCCACCATGCTGGTTCTATGAAAATTCATTTAAAATTGTATAATCAAAATTATTGTTAAGTGAAATTATGTTTAAAAAAAAAAGTCCCGCTGGGTTTCTTGCTGGTTCTTCCCAGGACAGGAGGTATTTTCCGAACCAGTGGTAAATAAAATAATGACTTTCAATAAGTATTATGTAATAATCCATATTGAATAAAAATCATTCTATTCTATATGAGCATTATGAGTCGTGCACTTTGGATTTTCCAAACTTTTTCAAATTGATGTTTGACATAAAATTATCGGGAAATTGGAAGTATATTAAGGTTATTAGTGAAAACTTGTGTGTATTTAAACTACTTTAAAAAAATTCCGTATAGTCATGCTATACGTAATTTTTTTAATGCGAAGAAATGCTCAATTGAATTTACCAA